ATACCCTTTTACTCTACGAGTAACGGGTATAATTACAAAAAACAACAATAAAACTATTATGTCCTGTGCAAACCTAGGTCTCCCTATAAGCCCAACAAAAATCTTACCAAAATCGAAACCCCCTTGGCCGTTACAATCAGATGCTATAGACACACATTTAAGCCAATATAAGAAAGCAACAACAAGCATGCCAATATTAAGAAAAGAATTTCTCGACATAAAATCTAAACTAACTACACAAAAGCAAAAGAAATAATCAAACACGAAAAGACCAAACCCGAATCATAAGATTACGTCTGTGCCACACCAGACTTACACATGAATTCAGACTCCTTCAGGCTACAGACAACCCCTGTAAGTTCAGCCAAAATAACTCAAAGTCAATATACCATATCCTTAACGAATGCACTGCATTTAATTACAACCAAACCCACCAACCTCCTTCAAGTTCTCGACTTCCTTAAGAAATCTAACTTATTAAACCTCTTATAATTAAGGTACTTTGTTAATACACCTGAAATGTAATAAATAAAATTAAGAAGCGAATACCATGAATGAATTATACCCTTAGAAATAAAGAACCGAATAGAAAATTGAACTGTAGACTTTAAGCCAGCCTATGTAGCTATGGCTGCCTACCCCTGTTGCTTTAGCGTTAACTATAAGCAAGCAGTTTGTAAATAAATAAATATATCTTTATATATTAAATTTATAATTAATTAATTATAATTATATAAATTAATTAATTAATTTATACTTTGCCAATGTTTTCCCTGCAGTTTTAAAGCTCCATTTCTATACAACAAATTTGAAAATACAAGTGTATAAGAAATTAATTAAAATTTCAGTATATGACATTGATATTATACCAAAAAATCCCAAAGCGCCATGTACAGAAATAACCTAAATTCAAAGAAAAAATACTGACGAAAAATGGGGAGATACAGAATTTATGGGTATGGTCCCACTTTCCGCTGAAGCGAAATTGTAGCAACTACTACCTTACCAGTCGCTTTCTAGTCGCTGGGGCACTGCACTGGCTGCAGTTTATTTTATTATCTTGAATAAATTAATTACTTTATAATCGCAAATTAATTCTTTCTCTCGTAGACTCTAGTCAAATATACGGATATGTATCTGGAACAGTGGAACTGCTTTAATTGGCACCAACTTTTGTCGTAACTCCAAAATTGTAGCATTATTCGAGATTTCTCGGATTTATTCTCCTTGAATAAATTTATTATTTTTATACATTGTTTAACCTGTCCCTGTTTATTTTATTTTCTTCCAGCAGTTCCAATAGGTTGAACTAGCACATTCTTGAATCCTCCTGAATCCTTGTACCCAAAACATCAGAAATTAATTCATTTTCTCGGACACTAATCAGATATATGGATATGTATCTTGAACAGAGGAACTGCGTTTATCGGCTCCAGCTTTTGTCGCAACTCCAAAATTGTAGCGTTAATCGAGGTTCCTTGCATCAGATATATGGATATGTATCTTGAACAGAGGAACTGCAATTATCGGCTCCAGCTTTTGTCGCAGCTCTAAAATTTTAGCGTTATTCGAGGTTCCTTGCATCCTTTAATGAAAACAGAAATTCCCGAAGAGACCGTTAATTTTCATTTGGTTCACATTGTTAATGTACCAATGTATTTTTGCAATATTTACTTCAAAACGTATTGACACTAAATTGAAGACACTTTCATAATTTGACTTCATGACTTAAAAATAAGTTTTACTGTCCAAGTCCCAAATGGACAGTCGTTCATATTTCTTAATATGGCAATTAAAAAAATAATCAATAAACCGATTAATATTTGAAGAACTTATAATCGTTTCATTCTTACTATCTTATCACAATGGAACTTGAAATCTACGAGTAACGGGTATAAAAATAAAAATTCGACGCATTTACTTTTGATGTTTTTATTTCTTCATATTTATTTATTCAGATATTTATTACATCAGCCTTATCGACGGCCGCCTCCTCGCTAGCCGCCTCCTGATTTGCCGCCTTCGCAGTCTTGCGGCGCTTCTGTGGCCTTTTGGCCTTTGTTTGTTTGCGTTTGGGGGGGGGGAGCCCCCCCTCCCCATTCTCTCCAACGATGAACTTGTCTACGTTCTGTAAATGGGAAGAATAAATTATTAACAGTTCATTTTAATTAATACATATAAATTACTTACGCACTTATCCAGCAGCACCCTCGACATTTTCTTCTTTCTTGGGAAATAAAAAGTTCCCGCGAATCGGGAGTGATGCCACACTTTCAGCTTGCCTTTATCGAAGTATCGATATAGGGTATCGATATAAGGTTAATGTGTTCCTAGTTACAATTTTGGAGCAAATGAGATGCCCACAACGCACTATGCTTTTTTCTCAAAAACTGACGGCTTTTCGTTCGCCGAACCGCATTTGTTAATTAGTAAAATGAATTTCCTTTCCAACGAGGTACCGTGCATGTTGGTACAACGTCTGTGAAAGTCAAATTAATTAAAAATAGAGATAGCGTCGAAACATTATTTTTTTCCCATATGGTTAGTGTCTTGGGAGCTTAGAACAGGGTGGAACAATTTTGTTACAAATGAGATGCAAACCACGCATTATGCTTTTTTCTCAAAAACTGACGGCTTTTCGATCGCGGAACCACATTTGTTAATTAGTAAAATGAATTTCCTTTCCAACGAGGTACCGTGCATGTTGGTACAACGTCTGTGAAAGTCAAAATTATTACAAATAGAGATAGCGTCGAAACATAATTTTTTGCCATATGGTTAGTGTCCTGAATACATTTTTTACATAGTGGTTCATGTCTTGGAACTTACTGGTTCAAATTATAATCTGGCGCCACTTCTTTTAATTATTTATCTTCCCCCACTGTAAAGCGATTTTCTCAAAAACTGACGGCTTTATCGTTATGATTTTTGCACTGAACTTGCTTTAGGCGATCAACAATCTGCCAATATACCGTGCATGTTGGTACAACGTCTGAGAGTGGAGCCCTGTGCAATTTACTATTTGCCCCCCTTTTTTGTATGGGGAAACTCCGAGGTGCCTTTACTGTTAAGCTATTTTCTCAAAAACTGACGGCTTTAGCTCAATGATACTTTCTGACAAGAAACTTGAATTAACGCCCAATAACCAGGTTTACCGTGCATATTGGTACAACCTCTGTGAGGAGAGCAATAAACGAAATTGTGGGGACCCGATTTTTTAAATAGATTTTTAATAAATTTCAAGAAGTCGGATATGTTTGCAAACTATCTAGATCGATAGATATTTTTATTCTAAACAATTTTGCATTTAATATTTTTCGATTCGGCCCAAAAAAGCCGAGAAAAACAAAAAATAAAAATTGGCCCCATGTTCCAGATTTCACCGTTCCGCCAGCGCCGCTAAGTCACCGACGCTAATTTGACGGACATTCATTTTAGCTAATTTCTGAGTTAATTACAGGCAATTCAAACCCACAGTTTTCGAGAAATTCAATGTGCGTCAAATTAGCGTCGGCCTGTTAGCAACGAAAACGGGAACGGTGGAATATGGAACATGGGGCCCTTTTTATTTTTAAATTTTCTCGCTATTTGGGGACCAAATCGAAAAATTTAAAATGCTAGATTGTTAAGAAAGAAAAGGCCTATTAGTATTTCAAAAATGCATTTGAAAAATCGTGTCCCCACAATTTTGTTAACTGCTCCCCTCACAGAGGTTGTGCCAATATGCACGATAAACCAAGCTATTAAGGGTTAATTCAAGCTCCTTGTCTGAAAGTTTCATCAAAATCAAACCCACAGTTTTCGAGAAAATAGCCTAACAGTACCGCAACCTCGGATTTTCCCCATACAAAAAAGGGGGGCAAAAATGAAATTACCTACTGCTCCACTCCTAGAGGTTGTGCCAACATGCACGGTATATGGGTAGATAGGGGATAATCTAGGGACTGTTCTGTGAAAGTTTTATCAAAATCAAACCCACAGATTTTGAGAAAATTGCTTAACAGTTGGGGGTGTTAAAAAGGTTATTAAAAGGCCGTTTAATCCAGAAACGGTACCATTGGATACTAAGACATAAACCACAATGTAAACAGCTTAGCCATGACAATCATTCGACGCTAACTTTTTATATCTTTATACAGCTCTCACAGAGGTTGTGCCAACTTGCACGGTATCGCATTCGAAGGGGCATCATTATAGCTAATTTCTGAATAAATTACAGGCAATTCAAACCCACAGTTTTCGAGAAATTCAAGTCTTTTCAATTATGGCTTTTGCCACGCGGTCACACTGTCAAGGCCTGCGATAAATCGTATACACCCGTGACATCAACCATCAAAATATGTATGCAAACTTTAATTAATTCATACAGCTCTCACAGAGGTTGTGCCAACTTGCACGGTATCGCATTCGAAGGGGCATCATTAAAGCTAATTTCTAAATAAATTTCAGGCAATTCAAACCCACAGTTTTCGAGAAATTCAAGTCTTTTCAATTATGGCTTTTGCCACGCGGTCACACTGTCAAGGCCTGCGATAAATCGTATGACCCGTGACATCAACCATCAAAATATATATGCAAACTTTAATTAATTCATACAGCTCTCACAGAGGTTGTGCCAACTTGCACGGTATCGCATTCGAAGGGGCATCATTAAAGCTAATTTCTAAATAAATTACAGGCAATTCAAAGACCAGCGAGGAAGCGAATTCAGCCAAGACATTTACCGCAAAAAGGTACTTATCGATGTATCGCCAAGTGCCAGGCTACGACCTACAACACTTAATTGAGCCAATCGAATACTTTTGGCCGCCAAATATTCAAAAATATATATTTTTAATATCAAATCTTCATTGTTATATGTATGCACCCCCTAATTGGTATTTATTTCCTGATTATTTTAATATATAATTCATTGAAATCGAGCCAGTGGTTTGGTAGAATTTAACATTTTACTGATTTTAGAAAATATAAAAATTCCCTAGTAGCTATTGTGGAGTTGCCATACTGCCGAATAGAATCCCCGTTACTTTGAATGAGAAGCTCGTGCAGAGACGTAAGGTGAAAGAAAAACGGGAAGAAACGGAAAAGATGGCACGCCAAATTTGTATGATAAAATGCGTAAGTTTATTTTTGATTTTACTTATTAATTATATTAACAATAAAAATTTATTTTTCAGACAATCACCAATTTTTATCTGGGGGATTCCGAGAAGGAGCGCTCCGCCGATGGAGGGGAGCCGGCCAGTCGGCGCCGACGTCGTCCTGGTAACGAGGATCGGAATGGCGAGGAGTTGGAATGTCGGCGGCAGCAGGAGCGCTCCGCCGATGAAGGGGAGCCGGCCAGTCGGCGCCGACGTCGTCCTGGTAACGAGGATCGGAATGGCGAGGAGTTGGAATGTCGGCGGCAGCAGGAGCGCTCCGCCGATGAAGGGCAGCCGGCCAGTCGGCGCCGACGTCGTCCTGGTGACGAGGATCGGCATGGCGATGGCGAGGAGTCACAACGTCGGCGCCGACGACGCAATCGCCAATCCGCTCCTGGTCACCAGGACGACTTCGGGCCGAGGGCGACGCCAGCGGCGACCACCGCACCAATGGCGGAGCAACGTGGCAGGAGGAAGCCGTAGAGCAACCGAGGGAAGCCGCCGATGGAGAGATGGAGATCAGGCTGCAGAAGGAAGCCGCCGAAGCCGCCCAAAACAAAAAAAAACAATTACATGTACATATACATACATAACAATAAAAAAGATTCAACATTTAAAATTCTGTTTGTTGTAATTATTTATTTATTTATTTATATAAAGCTAGCTGAAATTTAAAACTATAGGCTAACTAAGTTAAGAACATTTCAATTTTAAACTTAATTTTGGTTTTTTTATGGAATGTGATGATTTTCATGACGTTGTCGGGGGTTGCGTTTGAGATAATGTTGATGGGGTTAAGCGAATGGCAGGATTCTGATCTGGGTTGGGATAAGGAAGGACAGTGTATAATGATATGTTGGATATTGGGGAGTGGTGGCAGAATGGGCATGTGTTGGGAAGTGTTCTAGTTCTACCTAGTCGTGGCTGGTGTTCTAATTATATTTTATTATTTATATATATATACTTCTGAGCAGATGTATTATTTTAGAGTAGATACTGTAAAAGTGTGTATATAGTTTTTCCGTTCATATAAGTTAGTTGATTACTAGATGTGTTACAAATTGGTAAACTAGTGAGGATTTTTCCGTATTTGCGCGTGGGAGAGTTTAAGTTAAAGTCACAATGGTTATTGAACGTAAGATTAAGATAAGTATGTAAGCTTAATCTACCGAGTGTTGTATGTAAATGGCTCAGCATTTATAACGATATATAAATAATCGCAAGTTCGATGTCTCCTGGGTAAGGTTCACCCTAGCCCGTTGCTGCTACCACCGCTCCACCTACAGATCCTTAACCAATATGTTTTTTTTTATTTGTTTTTAAATTACACTAAGGCAAATATCGAGTTTTTTGTTCCGTATTTGCGCGTGGTGAGTTTAAGTTACGATAAGTATGTAAGCTTATATAAATAGTCAGCTCCTACAAATGCAGGAGCGCTGGAGAAGAAATAATTAATATATTTTTCTGAAACTCTTAAAATGGGATTTTCTAATAAACTACTGAACCGATTTCAATAAACAATACATCAAATAGATCAGGCAAGCGAGTATAATCGAAGGCATGTCTTTAATTCATTGAAAATATTCTTTAACATAATTTCGTTTTTATCGACCTATTGATAAAGGGTATCGATATAAGGTTAACAATTTTGTTCAAAAAACTCGATATTTCACTTAGTGTATTTTATAAAATAATTATTGTAATGAAAATCGCTGGAAAACAGCATTGTTTAGCTGACCCCGTTTAAGGAACTCAGAATTTGTACAAAATACACGAAATTGTCATACCCTAAAAAAATAAAATTAAAAAAACTCGATATTTCCCTTAGTGTAATAAACGCGACTGAGACAAACTTGCGCTGCGTAAGAAGTTCAGGAATCTGCATGCCAAATCCCAATAGCCTAGCTCTTATAGTTTCCAAGATGTCAGCGTTCATCTGGACGGACATGGCTAGATCGACTTGGCTAGTTCAGGATCACTAGCCAAGTCGATCTAGCCATGTCAAGATTATATATTACATACTTTCCGACGAATCTAGTATACCCTTTTACTCTACGAGTAACGGGTATGAAAATAAAAAATCGACGCATTTACATTTGATATTTATTTATTTCTTTATACATATTTATTGGCCATCAGCCTGATCATCGTCAGCCTTATCGGCGGCCGCCTCCTGGCTAGCCGCCTCCTGGCTAGCCGCTTCCCGGCTAGCCGCCTCCTCCTGATCAGCCGCATCCTCCCGATCAGCCGCCTTCGCCTTCTTACGGCGCTTTTGCGGCCTTAATAGATTTCTAGAAGTCGGATATGGTTGCAAAATATCTAGATCGATAGATATTTTCATTCTGAACAATTCTGTATTCGATGCGGCCCCAAGAAGCCGAGAAAATCAAAAAATAAAAATTGGCCCCATGTTCCAGATTCCACCGTTCCGCCATCGCCGCTAAGTCACCGACGCTAATTTGACGGACATGGTTTGAATTGCCTATAATTTATTCAGAAATTAGCTAAAATGATGCCCCTTCGAATGCGATACCGTGCAAGTTGGCACAACCTCTGTGAAAGTTGTATAAAGTTATAGAAAGTTAGAGTCGAATGTTTGTCATGACTAAGCTATTTACATTGTGGTTCATGTCTTAGTATCCAATGGTTCAGTTTCTGGATTAAACGGCCTTTTATTAACCTTTTTAACACCCCCAACTGTAAAGCAATTTTCTCAAAATCTGTGGGTTTGATTTTGATAAAATTTTCACAGAACACACCTTAGATTATCCGCTATCTACCCATATACCGTGCATGTTGGCACAACCTCTAGGAGTGGAGCCGTAGGTAATTTTATTTTTGACCCCCTTTTTTGTATGGGGAAAATCCGAGGTTGCGTCACTGTTAGGCTATTTTCTGGAAAACTGTGGGTTTGATTTTTATGAAACTTTCAGACAAGGAGTTGAATTAACCCTCAATAGCTTGGCTTATCGTGCATATTGGCACAACCTCTGTGAGCGGAGCAGTTAACAAAATTGAGGGGACACGATTTTTCAAATGCATTTTTGAAACATTAATATTCCTCGGATGTGTCCCAAACCTACCTAGATCGATAGATCTTTTCTTTCTTAACAATTTAGCATTTTAGATTTTTCGATTTGGTCCCCAAATAGCGAGAAAAAAAAAATAGCGAGCCCCCATGTTCCAAATTCCACCGTTCCACCTTCGTTGCTAACAGGCCGACGCTAATTTGACGGACATAATAGCGTCACTTTTCTTCTTCCATTCTTAGGTTTTCAACACTAACAAATTTAGGATGTTACACACTGACAAATAGTGTTGAACAACTTAGTAGTGTTTTTAGACAAACTGATTTTAAATTCAGTTTTTTTTTTTTTTTGCTCAAATACATAGATAATTTTATTTAACTGTAATACAACGAGTGAAAAGTTCATGCTTACTTAGTTTAGTTGTGTTACATTTTAACCCTGCACTTATAAGCTTTTCGGATCGTTCATTTTTAAATATTTATTTAAGTTCACTTTTACTTTGTACATGTTTAGAAGTATTGTATTTGATTGGGATTTATATTTCTTTTATATTCAGGGAAAAAAAGTCTTAAACCTGAGAGTATTCATTTTTTTATCTTGTAATCTTTAAAGCTAAATTATTCTTAATTGATAATAATGAGGGAGGTGGTGTATACACAGTGGGAATGTGTACAAGGAAAGTATATAAGACATGTGGGCTTGTGATTATTGTGTTTGTCTATTATTTTTACTGGTTTGTAATGTATACTAGATTTCAGGTTTACGGAGTCATGTCTCCGGTGATAAAATATAAGTTTACTATTTGTATTGTATATTATTCCTATTTCTTTAAGGAAATCTGTATTGTTTATGGTTAAATTATGGATGGAATAGTTAACATGAAGCTGGACTTTGGTGATGCTGTTTGAGATCAGATGATTACTATTGTTTCCCTTTTTTTTAAAGGAATTGTTCGATTACTTTGAATATGTGCGTATCGGTACGCTTGGTTTGTGTGCGCTTGTATAGGCTGCTGTAGTTTACGACAGAGATCTGCATCGAGTAATAAGTTATCGGGTAGTATTCGATAATTTACGCGGATCGTAATTGAACGGCTCGTTCGAATCAGCTGATTGGAATGATCGTTGGGCACATGCTTGTGTAGAGTACGTCTGATCGTAGCGATCGCTCGCTACTTGCGCATGATCGATCGCGATCGTTTATAAGAACTGAGTTGATCATTTGTGATCCTACGAAGCTATATGCACGATTACTTTTGATCTTACATTTAGGTTCGCTTCAGTTCGGATCGTGCTCGTTGAACCGAGCTTTTTGTTTGCGATTGGTATGATCGTATTTCTAGTCAGTTGTCCTGCACGCAACTACAAATTGGCTGGCCAACGCAAAGGACGAAGCTTTTTGTGGAACATTTTAAGTGAAATTTTAATTTCGCTTAACTATGAAAAACTGATCATTTAAATCTTGTTAATTAGTTAATAAAAATTATAAATCTGTTCGTTTTGATCGTTCCGAAGCAGATTCACGAACATGAAATCAGAGTGCTTACTCGTGCCTGATTATTCTTTCGGCTTTTGCTTCGGGTATGCATCATGAACGACCATATTTCGGCGGAGCGAAGTGAGTTGAATTAAGCGAAAGTTTTTGCATGGTGATCGAGAAGATTCGATCATACCCGAGATGATTTGTTATTGAGTTCCTGGCAGAGGAACTTATGGATCGACGTAGTATTTTTCGTTCAAAAAGTATTGGCTTTTCCATTTCATTCGATTTTAAGTTGAACCAGGCTATGTGGCAGTATGAGAGTATTGGTTGTATTCATTTGTTTATATTAGTAATGTTATTTTAATTAGTTGTGTACTTGAATCTGGTGTATTTGTTCTGAGTAAACCGGAAGCATTTTGAATTTTGGCTATTTGATATTTTGCTTTTCTAAGGATGTATTGAGGTTTGTTTAGTTTTTCGTCATAGTAGACTCCCAGGTATTTTATTTCATTTACATTTTCATTTCTGTGTTTCCGTTGACATATATTTAAGGTCAAAAATTACGAGCATTTGGATATAAATAACGTAATACTGAACCTTTCATTATGCAGCTCTCACATTTGCTGGTATTTAGCTTAAGTCGGTGGTTGAAGTTGTATAAACGGAACATTTTCTATATCAATGCATTTGTCCAGAGTCTGGACTCCAGACGGTGTCGAATGATTTTTCAAAGTCTAGAGCGCATGGTATGATGGCCCGTTTGTTGTTTAGGTTGGAGTATATGATATTATTGGCGGCTGCTAGTGAAAGTGAAATTGTCATATTTTTCCAGAATCCAAATTGAAAGGGTTGAAGGATTGTGTTATGGTCTAGATGTTCTGTTCATTTCAAGGCAAGAATTGTTTGTAGTATCTGGCTTATTGCAGACGGTATTGAGATTGGTCTATGTATATCCCAGAAGGGTTTCACGATTGGCTTTTTGTTTTTGAATAGCAATTAATTTAATGCATTTCCAGCTGCTATGATGAAGAAGAAGATGCTAAGAGTTCCATGATTTCTTAAAACCGTGAAATAAAATTTGCTCCTTTTTATGCACTTTATCAATCTTAGCTGACAGAGATGCCGGACCGGTGGAAAAAGGTGTGATCGATTATTAAACCGACTACTTTGTTCGATTCGCACGAAAAAATCTTGCTAGTATTAAAGATAAAGTATAACATTTTTTCTACCGTTAAAATAAAAGATGAAAACTAGTTTCCATTGGCACTGAATGAAAAAATAATTTGTTAGATGTAAGGTGTCTTTATGTATTTATATCGATCTGGCAACTCCGATAATTATATAGAGTTACCGGAGTTTGATTGTCACCATTTCAGGCTTTGAGGTTAAATTCACAGTCAACTTTCGTGTGTTGTCGAATTCATGAAATGGTGCTTATGCGCACACGAAATTTGTTTTATTTGTATTTTGCTTATATGGTGTGTGTGTATGTTTGTGTTCATACGTGAATAAGGTTAGGCCATTCGTTTAAAGAAATTAGATGGTGAATGTACCCTGTGGAAATCGAAGTTTCACATTTGTCAAAAGTCCCAACCGTTTCAAACGGATAGACTCTATGGGAAGGGGGTTTTATTCCCGAAAAAATTCCACAATGCCGTATAAAAAATCGTTCATATCAATCATATTCAATACACATAATGAAATGCTACCCACTTTCCGCACTGATGCGGGATTTGGGCGCTGATGTAGGAATACCCTCTGTCTGAACAGACTACAGCTTCCCAACTCGGCCTTAGTGTAATCGGGACCACAATAGTGCTGCAAAACGCTAACACATGGGAGGCGATAGTCGAGGGGTCACACTTGTTTTGGAAGAACAAGACAAAAATTGCTCGTCATTCGAAGTAGGCGATTCGCTAAATTTTTCAAAAACCCTTCAAATTCAACGCATTATATATCCCGTAAGTATGCCTGCGAGATAGCTGATAGCCCGGTGCCGAACTGCGAGCAAAACAACCTAGTGTTATTGACTGAACAGCAGCGTAACTACAACACATCCTCCCTCCAATCTCGCCAGCTCTCGAGAAGCGCCCGCATCATGTTCGGAAGACAAAGTGGACTGGGCAGTTCCAGCAACAGCAGCAACCTGGTGGAGTTCCGTGCCGGTCGCATGAACATGGTTGGCAAGATGGTTCATCCGGACTCGCGCAAGGGCCTGGTCTACATGACCCAGAGCGACGATGGCCTGATGCACTTTTGCTGGAAGGATCGAACCTCAGGCAAAATTGAGGACGATCTCATCGTCTTCCCGGACGACTTTGAGTACAAGCGCGTGGACCAATGCAAGACGGGCCGCGTCTATGTGCTCAAGTTCAAGTCCTCGACGCGCCGCATGTTCTTCTGGATGCAGGAACCGAAGACGGACAAGGACGAGGAGCACTGTCGCCGCATCAACGAGCTGCTAAACAACCCCCCCTCCGCCCACCAGCGCGGCGGGGGCGGCAGCAACGACGGCGACCTCCAGTACATGTTAAACAACATGTCGCAGCAGCAGCTGATGCAGCTCTTCGGAGGCGTCGGCCAGATGGGCGGTCTCAGCTCACTGCTGGGCCAAATGAAGTGAGAAAGTTAGCTTTTCAGAAATGAGATATCTGCTTTGATTTATATTGCACACAATGGGAACAATGAGATAGCTCCTTTCTTGCTGAATACCTAGATTGATCTTCTGTATTGCCAATGTCAACTTAGCGGACAGCAAATTTCGTCGAAGACAAAACTGTCAGCTATTTTATATCGCGTGTCATTATTTGTATTACCAAATCGAAGTGTGCCAAATAACAATCATAGTTCATGGCCAGCTTCTGGATCTTCTGTACTAGTAATGTCGTCCTTGAATACAACCAGCTATTTAGACTTTACAATGAGAAAGCGATAGTTTGTTACCGTTCGTAGTGCATGTATCTTAGACACTGTTGAATCGCAGTCAACTATTAGTTTTTCAAGTATACGCTCTTATTTTTACCTGTATTTAGGGGGATATAAAATAGATAAATTCGACAATAGGAAGAATAGAACTGCCAGCATATTTGCTGACTAGCAATTTCGAAGTTTTAATAATTGCTATAATAAGCCTTCACCCTTGCCTTTCAGCTCACGTACGCCCTCGTCGCGCAACACCTCCTCATCGGGTGGCGGTGGTGCCTCGGCCTTACAGACCCCGAGAATGTCAGTGTGCCTCGCACTCCGACCGCCCCATCCAAATCGGGCAGTAGTCGCAGCAGCAGCAACGTGAACTCGCAGGCAGGAGAGGCTGCCGGCAGTGCCGGCTCCTCCGTTGATGCGGATGCCTCCGGTAAGAACTCAACCACATCGACCACAACGGCGTCAGAATCGACCGGAGCCTATGCCAATCCATTCCAAGCCTACTTATCCAATCTCTCCCCCGAACATGGCGCAGGACGATCCCTGAACATTGACTTGTCGACGGCGCTGTCCGGCGCCGAGGCCATCAACCAGCTCATTGCAGATCCGGAGCGGGTCAAGTCGCTGATCGTACACCTGCCCGAGTCGGAGGATGCGGACGAGGATCGCAAGCAGCAGATCAAGGACCACATCACCTCCCCGCAGTTCCAGCAGGCCCTCGCCCAGTTCTCAAATGCTCTGCAATCGGCCCAGCTGGGACCGGTGGTGAAGCAGTTCGAGCTGTCCAACGAAGCGGTGGCTGCCGCCTTCTCCGGCAACTTGGAGGACTTTGTGCGAGCTCTGGAGAAGAGTCTCCCAGCCGGTGCCACCATGGGTGGCGAACCTTCGGCCAGCGAGAAGAAGGGCGACGCGGAAACTCCTGCTTCAGTGGATGAGAACACCGATCCCGCTGCTGAAAAGCAGGAGGAGAAACAAAAATAGCTTTAACTTGCGTCCCAACATCTATTAAAGTGCGTTCGAAAGCTTATTTTTTCATGTATTAAGTATTCTTTGATTCTGAATAAATTAACAAGGGAGTTACAGATGCATTAAACTGCTGTTAAATAATATTGTGGTTCAAACGTGTGCTCGGAAATAAATTCCGTTTCAGTATAGCAAGATAAATTTAAATTTAAATTACCCATCGATATATTGGAAACAACTACACTAAAACTTAAATATCAAAAGTTTTTTCTGGCAATTCTATTACCGATTTATTTACATATTTAATATAAACTGCTTATAATTGTTTGAGGTTTTTTTATTTAAAAGATATACTCAGAATTCTTTTAAAATATTTTACTCTTTTTTGCCTCCCTAAATAAAAATAATTGAATATCCCTTAATACCGAATTTTTGTCGGTAAATTAAGAATACATTTTAAATATAAAATATAAAATAACTTAAAATTAACATATTTTTTAAAAAGAGAGTTTGGACTTCTCTATCTTTCAGTTATCTATTATGCATTAAGTAGTATGTACATATGTATATCGCCAAGTGACTTACTGAAAATTAAATTTTTACATTTCATCAGAATTTCAAAACTTGGAAGTAAAATTATGGAAGTAACGGGAATAGTAATCCCGACAAGGTCATTTTCTTGGTGTCCCCCTAACAAAAAGCTCTCCGCCAGCTAAGTCGCTCTAGTCGTCCCTTTCTGGCACGAACTGCGCGCTCTCTCTCAGCGGGCCGTCTCACACAGATACATACACACACAGGCACACGCAACAATATTTATTTTATTCAATTCCAAAACGGCCAGCGTATTAGTTGTGTTTGTGCAGATCTCGCGCGTTCGCAAATTTTGGTAGTTGGCACTAGATTCTCATACATAACGATCTCAATCGATCTCCCTCTGCCGGATCCAAAAGACGGATACATCCAGATCTACAGTAATTGCAATATTTTTCGCCAGTTTTTACGTCGCGGGCTGGATGTTTTTGTATCTGTTGTTGTTGGTGCTTTCATTTTGCAGCAATCTCTGCTGCATGTGTGTGTGTGTGCGTTTGGTGCTTTTGGCGGACGTGAGTGTGTGTGCGTGTGCTGGTGGCAGCCTGCATGTTTTTTCCAATGCATGACTGCTTCGCGGATTTCGTGGAAAGCTTTTCCCTCCAAAGTAGTTGCCATAAAAAAGTTAAAAGCCGCGGCAATAACAAAAGGCAAAGAAAACACAAAAAACACGGGCAGGCGTGCGAGACAGAGAAAGAGAGAGTCGCACACACACTGGCAACCTTTGACTTTGACTCACTCGCGCACACACACACGCACACTCGAGCAGGACTGGAAGCTTGCAGAAAATAAACTAAATAAAAAGGAGCTGCTGAAGTGTGTGTTGTCAAATTACAAAGTAAACAAAAAGCTTCCCGGACTCGCAGTATCAAAATCTCCGGCACTTCGGTCTGGCAACACCAACAACAACAGTAGCATCCGCATAGGAAAAAGAAACTGCGTTTCAAGCATTTCCCGCACTCATGTATCTTTTCTCGTTTCTTCCAATTAGTGCTGGGAAAGTACCGCCAGTAAGGGATTATCTGCAGTCAAGACACGAACCCCACGCAACTCCTTAATGAGTTCCCCCCAAATAAACGGAATTCGCAACAAAAAACGCTTGATTTGCCGCTGATAAAGCGATAAGGCCACATAGCCCATTCTGCAATTTTGCGATAAGGTGAGTATAAGCACTCGAGTCCGCGGAGCCCTTTGATTTTGCCGGCAATCCGGGGCTCCAGAACAGCTGCAGGAGCTGCAGCTACATATACATAATAGAGGTGTCCCGTCCCCTTAAAAAAGCAGGAGAAAAAACCAAAACACAAATGGCGCCTGAGCATATGCTGCGGGAAATTTTCGAGAGCGCCAGCGGAGCGGGGGTGCGAGCGGGACAACCATACAGACAGTGTTTATGTTTTGGTAGAAAGGTCACATCCTTAGCTTCCAATAGAACTTTCCTTACCCTCATCACCACCCTCGTCCCGCGCAAATTACGTCAGGGATCAAAAACAAGTCCCTTTCGACAAATCGAAGCCTATATGCCCTGTTTTCTTCTCCGTTGTCCTTCCTAAATATTCCAAAATACTCCGTTATATCCTGAAAGAGAGTTTGGGGATAGTTTTTTGATTTTAAATCGGTACGTTTGACGGGTTGTATCTTTCTAGTCCCATTACAAGTACAAATGATGAAAGATGTTTGGGATTGTATTCGTTATTCGAAAATATTTATATAAAATAGTATATATACGTATATTATCAGGAAGGGATATTCTTTAAGGGGCGGAAATGCTAGGACAATGTTTATAGGTCCTGCCTTGCAAACTTGAGATCAAAATTTCGAGGAACAGTGTTACAAATTTCAAAGTGGGTGGCGAAAGTTTGTGGGATGCCACTCCTGCAACACTAACACTGCCGACCAACAGGCGAGAAAGCTTCCAGCATGACATTGAACTTGGCTGAATTCGATTAATCACAGGCGCAGGCACAGGGACAGGGTGCTGCAGCTTTTTGAGGCACTTTCACGAACAATTTTGCAGCTGCCACACTTCAACAGTTTGTTGTCAGTTGCAGCCATTTCATCGATTACACTATATACATATGCACATACAAGCCCAAAGCTTGCAGCGCATTGTGCACTTTCTTCCCGCACCCTTTTTTAAAGAAGATTGGGATACCAACTTCATCTCGACAGCTGTCTTGGAAGCCAAGGAGCTTTCTCTATGGCCTGTTGCTCTTATTTATTACTGGGGCAGAACTTAATAAAGGGTATTATTTGATCAGAGATCGAAAATAATCATTTTTTTGATATTTTTATCCAAAAAATCATTACTTCTGAGTGTTATTAATATTTATCAGAAATAATTACTATTTGTAAGCGTAAAAGGTATCGCCCATAATCGTTTTAAAGTTTACAAGCGCTATGTTTGTACCCCATTTCGTATCAACAGTAGGCCCTTACAAAATATATTTATATTAACAAGAGTTATGAAGATGACATGAAAATTGTCATTTGCAAGAAACCTCACCATGTGTGTGCTCACCATGCGGTAAAAAAGGTTCGAGTCCCAAGGCAATAAGTGTTCTTATATTTCTATGTTATGTATTGCTTTTATGTTGATGTGTGGTAAAATGAATTCAACGACTTTCACTTTTTAAAAAATAAACTGTAAAAGCCACATTTACACACTGATATCTGTCGAGAACTCGGTTTGAATAATAACAAACTAATTAAACCTACATACATATGTATCGCAATAAAAACCTTCCTAGAGAACTATAGCTGCAAATAAATGAATATATCTTATCGGAAATGATAAGTGGATATATTATTTGCCTTGTAGGCCTGACTCTCTAGTTTCCCTCCAAACTATCAAAGTAGTGTCCCACCATTGTGTGGTTCAATAGGTCTATTGAGCATTCGATATGCAAAACATTCATCCTCAAAGTTCCGTCTCGCTGGTCCACCCTAGCAGCGTCCACTTTGCATGGCCCATTTGCTCGACTTCCTGCGGTCCAATTTGCAGCGGCTCCTCCCGCCACATTGTGATTATAAGCTCCGACCGGCAGGCGACTCTGCGATCCGCTGACATCAGCAGTCGCAGCGGCACAAACAGCAATCTGCCGGCGCAGCAGCAGAAGGAGCAGATGATTTTCCTGTTTGCCAGGGACCGAAAACAGGTTTAAAAAAGAAACCACAGGCAGGCCGACGGACCGAATCGTGCGCTGCCCTTTCGCACAGTCGGGCAAAAAAGACAATACAGTGCGGAGTGGTAAATGTCAGAGCTTATATATTTTCAAAAGTACGTGTGCGGAGTTAGACAACACATTTGGCTCAGAAGTCCACGGGCTTGATGGTGATGAACCGGGAGAGAATGAAGGCCACCAGGATGGTGGCGCACACGAAGCAGAAGGCGAACATGTAGAAGCTCTCCTCGGTGAAGATGTCGGAGAAGGCGGGTATATCCTGGTAGATCTTCTCGATCACCGCCAGCGTTCCTTTGTGTTTCCTCACCATCGTGATGGCTGCTGCGCACCCCTACTTCTTCTTGAGAGCCTTTTTTCCGCCGCCGGCGCCTCCTCCGAGTTTCTGTTTCTCCGCCTTGGTTAGGACCTTGGTGGTGATCTCCTCTGGTGGTGCCAAACTGGACACGTGTCTGTTGCACAGCTGCAGGAGCTCTAGAGTGTTGAGATTGTCGCTGTTGAACCGAATCTCCTTGACTTTGGCTTGTTCTGCGGAAGAGGGGTATTATCAGCTATATATGGATGTAAGGCAGCAACTGCAGCTAAAACTCAAAACCTAAGTCCAGAAGAACTTAGTTTTTAATGGAACGTTAGGCACAAGATGGTACTAGAGTTTTGAAACTGTAGTTTCCAAAAAGGTCTTTGCTTAAACTAAAATTGTGGGTTCTCCACTGCCCAGTTTTGAGTTTTTGCTGGCGACCATCTTAAGCGTAACCCAAAAAAGGAATCCTTACCTTGTGCCGAGTCAATCAGGGCAAACTTGATGCTGGCCGGCTGGCGATCGCACACGATTTCCGGCTTGACCACGCACTTGGGATTCGTGAGTGCCACTTTGGGTGTGGAGAGCAGGAAGAGGAATTCTCTGCGGATAGAGACAACAAAGAGCTGATTAGGGGGCCATTGATTTTTCGCCACTTTCTAATTTGCTTTCGCTTTTCCAGGTCCAGCGCCGCCTCAAACTGACGCCGACACCGACTAAAATGTCCACGGAGCGTGAGCTGGCTCCCGGCGGGCCAGCTCAGCTCCACCCGCACACGCTGCCGCTGACGTTTCCGGACCTGCAGATGACCTCCGCCGTGGGCATCATCGGGAAGGTGTACGGTGAGTGCGACACATCCACTTCATCCCTTCATGCTCCCCAAGGGAAAACGCCCCCAAGGATCGGTTCTGTGGTGAACACCTGAATACTTCACTGCACCTCTTTGGTTTCCTCGGTTTTTTCCGTATGAATTCCTTTTGCTTTTCCTCACTTTGGTTCCGTGAAAATTTTCCAATCTACTGGGGGAGACTGCGCATGTCCCGCTATCGATAGGTGGAAAGCGGT